GGGGGGGAGGTCTCGCACGCAAAGAGCAAAAACACACGTGACGAAATATGTATAGAGTATAGAGCGACAGGTTTTCAGTTTCCGAATTTTTTTTACTCCGTAGATCTAGAATCTACATGTATATATTATGTGTATTTAAACCACGTACATAAGTTCGTCCTAGACTGCACCCTAACGTAACAATATTGGATTTACGTATAGGGAGAAGTTATGACAGGCACATTAAAATTTCACACCTCGCCCTCTCCTCACCTTTGCCTTACCATCTGATGTCCTTCTGTACCGACCCAACCACACACATAATGTTTCCAAAGTAAATACGAGAGGCAGACGGATATTTATAATGTTCGTGATTTGGAGAATGGTTTGGAGAAGCGGTGGGAGCTGATTCAGTTTGGTGGTTTAGAAATGAAAAGGGGTGTGGTGTGAATGAAAAGGGTGTGGTTGGAGAGACGGTGGATAGGCCCCTGGTGCCTTCTTTTGCCTCTCTTGTTTATTTGAAGTATAACACCAAGGCATTCAAGGACGATTAGGTTTTTCGTAAAGAGAACCCCCTCGGTCGGTCGACAGCACAGAGGTGAATAGAACTGTTATTCTTATTCAAAAACTATTTATTCGGTTTGAATCAATCTACGAACTACATGCCACATTATGTAATAGATCAAGACAACCCATGCCCATTGATCCAGCGAGGGAGAAGAGACTATAGAGAGGGACGGGCAGAACGATAGCGATCTAAAGATCTTCTGCAAAGAGAAATTACCAAAATGAGAGTAGAGAAACTCTCCAGCATTTCATGCTCGCAAGGCAGTTTTAGCCTGGCTTGTCACTTTGGCCTTCTTTGGCCAAATTTTCACATGAAGATAAGCTCTGTCAATGCCAGACCTTCACTACAATCCAAGCAAATTAAAATATGGCCCAAGAGGTGGGCGGTTTGGGCCTAGCAATGACGATTTTTTGTCAATTTAAAGTCTCTGAAGTTTTTACGTATTATAATACTCCAATCACTTGTAAATCTTGGAAAAAAAGTGCTTATTCTTTGTAGTGTAACAATCATCATCTTTCAGATTTTCTGTCCTGGAACTTTTATTATGCCTATTATGTAACAGAATGTCGTTGTTTTTTCTCTAAACTTCAATTTTTAAATGTTTTTTCTCATCTACTTCTTTATTCCATTTTTGATTCCAATGACATTTTCAGGGCTTAAATTGTTATTCATACCATAACGGGTGGAAAATAAAATGGATGCATTGATGAATGACTTACATGGGTGAATATGCAATCGAATCCAAAGGCATGCGGGGGTGGATCAGTTATCCATCTCTAACTTATTTCCCATTCAAGATATCCGAGATCCCAACTGTATGAAATTTTGTATTGAGTATATTCTATCAATGTACCATATTTGAACAAACTTGGTTGGTAAAATAAAAAATCCCTTTTACTTTTATGAAAGCTGTTTATTTTCAATATGACGGCCGTTACCGTGGCAACTGGAGACTTAAACACAAAAAAGTAACATTTTATACTATGTTTTCCTGTTATACCTCCTTGCTATATGGCTTTATCTAAAAAAAAAAAAAGGCCATAGTTACCTGGGTGGGTTTAT